GAAAACAGGAAAATACCGCCTTGTAATCCACTTATTTCAGCAAAGTAACTGTAATCCAATTACCACTCATTTAAACAGTAACTGTAACTGAATACAGTTACTCATAATTTGTACTCTGATTACGTAACTGCGGTACATGTAATCCGTTACTACCCAACACTGCTATTTATGTTACTGCTGTTTGACGGGTTGCCAGGTTGCCAGCTTTGGCTTGACAGAAGGAGACCAGAGAGCACAGGTGAGCCTGAACAACGGCCAGGTGACGGGGAAACCGGTTTCACGTGTGCCATCTACTGGTGACAAAAGTCAAATAAACATGCAGATAGTAGCTTTAAATAGGTACTGAGTTCTAAACACATACATAAAGAACCCAGAACATTTATTTACTAGGTATCCTTACAGGGAAATGTCTTCTCTACATTTGACTTATTCATCATGCACGACACAGTGCACCTTATTATTGTGGTGTATAACCAAAGTGTTTTGTACTTATCTGAAACTAAATACATTTAAAAAGTTTGAAGAGCACAAGGTGTAAAGATGCCCAGTAAGACGTTGGTGACTTGGGCATGACAAAGCAAGCATAACAAAGAATACCATGAATACAAAAACCCAAATGTTTCCATTCTTGTTCATTTTGTCCAGCTGCTCAAATGTGCCATATAATGAAGGAGGGATATGCACCAGGTGAACAGCCAGGCTAATACCCACTTAAAACTCCACTTCCCACTAATCCCTGCGTGCTCTCCTCCTTTAAACTGTGTGAGGGGGGCAGTTCTACACCTGTATGGACACCAAGCACTGCTCACAGCAGCACAGAGCCGAGACACACAATCATCCAACGTGGACAAAAGAGAGTCAGCCTGCATGAGTCCACCCTGATCCCCATGTGCTGAATAAAATCAGGAATCACTGCTGTCTTCAGTCAGGCTTTATTCTGCACATTATAGCAACAGGCGATGCAAACTCACATGGGATTGATGGGGGAGGCATGTGACTCATTTGTCCTTTGTCAAGAATAAAATTCTGTCTTTCATAAGGAACCTGTCTGGAAAATGTAACTCATCATAGGTGATCATAAAGCAGAAAATTTTACTATGAGATTGTTCAGTCTTGAATAGTCAGGTGCAAAAACTGTTGTTGTGTTTTTAGGCAAGGTGCTTCACCCACACTGCATAATATGGAGGTGGTGTGTGCATGTTGGTCAATGGGGTAGATGGTGCAGATTGGCAGCCTTGTTTATCAGTAACAGTTTACCCCAGGACAGCACAACAGTAGCTTTCAGTCGTCGAGTATGAGTGAATGAATAATGCATGAAGTTGTAAAGACACTTTGAACATCTGGAAAATCATTATATCACTAATTAAATAATTTGATACGCACATTTTTTTTTAAAGAATCATACCATAAACTGGGGCTCAGCTGCTATCCTGATACAGAAGATTTAATGAATTATAACTACTAAAAATGAATAGATATTTTTATGCAATCCAATGTCTTCCTTTTCTCAATACAGTTTTAGGTACTAATATATTTGTCAGTTTTTAATGATTTTTGATAGTTAATATTAACAAATATTGATGACACCTGCATCCAGTCCAATATATGGGTGCTGCTGAAATTACTCATTCCAAAGTAAAAAGGGCCAAACACATATATTTGCACTTGTGGCCTTTTTAGTCCTTTGCATTTGACCCATCCTTCAACCAGCACCTCAAACAACATATAATACAATAAGGTAACAGGAAAACAGTATCAGATAAAGTTTAACATTCAAATTGCATTAAAATATAGTTTATTTCTACAGCTGTCCATTGCTTGTATGTGGATTCTGGACTTTTTGCACATCTCTGTGGTCCATTCCCCAGCCAGGCTCCAACGATGGGCCTCTGGTGTCTCTGTCTGACATTATGTGCCCCTGGTGCCTCTTGCAGCAGCTCATGTTCCTGAAAATGGTGCTTTCATGACCACTCAGAGCACACACACATGCACTTGTACCTTAGTGAACCTCACCAAGGCTGTGATTCAAACAGCCACTGAACAAAACTACACGTGGTTTATTCAGCAACATCAATAAGATAGGCATTTTTGAAAGAGTTGGGGAAAAATAAACTTGAATCAAACATGAACATGCAAACAGCTGGGGAAACCATGTACAATTTTAGAAGGTTGCAGTGCAGAAAATGAAAGATTTATTTTTATTTTTTCTTACCTGTGTGACAGTGGAGTAGCAGGAGCGGAGGTTACAGTATTCAGTGCTTTGCTTTTAGTAAAAACTGCACTGTTGAAAAACTAGAAAGCACTTTTTTAATGAGTCAGGGGTAATGATGCCAGATAAATGCAAAAAAAAAAAAAACATGCTCTGTTGTTATAATATTGACATAATGTATTTTTTTTTTTTTTTTTTTTTAAAAACATTTTTTTTCTATATGCTCAAACAATATAACATATGTAATAAAATATATATTGTATACAATTTTAATCGCTCTGAGCAGGGACAGCTTGGGTAAATTTTGCATTTTAATTTGTATCATATCCTATTATTTAAGTAATTGTAAACTGTCTTCAGTTATATTTGTATAAATACGCAATCTAATTTTAATAATGATTTCTTTTAACTGTAAAATATATATTTTTGAATGATAACCTTGCTTTGCAAGTAACAAAGACCAAATTAAACTTGTTTTATAATAATCCTTGATTTCACAATTTGGAAATTTAGCAAAATCATGAGTTGTGAGTTAATCGATTAAATTCTAATTAATTCAAATTAATCTGATTAACTGTCCAGCTCTTAACACAAAGCACATTATTCTCATTTCTACACTAAAACAAAAATATTTATACTTTGTCCATTACCTTGCTCGTAATTCAGTTTATACCAATTTACACTGATATACTTTGATACACTTTGAAGAATCTTTGTGGACAGATTTGATGCTGTGGTCTGACACTATAAATGATGCATCAGGTGAAAAAGATGATGTTTTGTTTGACATTGGGGCATTTAGATTGTTCTCTTGTGTGTTCCTGTCATTGGACCCTGGCTCAGCAGATGTGTGATGGATTACAGAGGGACTGGATGGATGTGAGGTTGACTGATGGATCTCTGGAAAAGCCACATCGCAATAGCTGTTGGCTGAAATTAGTAGGAACTAGAAATATACAAATTTGTTGAGAGAGAAAGAAATCTTTCCTTCATGTACATTATGTGTAATTTTCCATGAACACTGCATACAAGTAACCTGTTAAATAAAATTTTACTGTTGCACCTATTTTATAGCCCCAAGATAATCCATTTCATTCACTCTGCCTGCCCGCAATTGTATTCCACACAGACATACTGGACTTTATAGTGGACTACATCCTCACTGTACTCTCTCTGATTATATGCACCTTTCTCTGTTCAGTCCCTTAACAATGGTTTTCACGAAGGGTGTATGTTCACAAGGTCTTGGCTATGCTTCATGTTTTATTTAACAACAAGAAAAGCAGAAGGGGTGTATTGTGCACAATATTCTCTTAGTCACAATCTAGAGTAATGTATACAAGCTATTGTAAAGGTAAAACTTTTGCGATACGAATCGATCTCCTTCACAGCTATATTTGGCTAGTGATCATAAAACCCATCTTTGAAAACAATGTTTTTTAACAACGATTTCTGCGAGTCAACGCTGCCCTCATGTGGCCAAATTGTAAACTTATAATAATTATTATCCAAGCTCTTTTAGACGTCTGAACACTCCAGGACATATCGTTTTAAAGAATCTTAAAGTCTAGTGTTGTTGTAGAACCACACGTAAACAGACAGTCATACTGTCTAATAATGGGCACTATTCTTTCAACTTTTTTTTTCAACCCTCAGGTTGTGGGACTCTTTTAAATCCTTCACTTAAAAAATGCCACTGCCTTAATCTATTCTGTTATTGAAAAGGCAGCCTCGGTTTTAACAGTGAATACTAGGCATAAAACAGTATTAAGGCCGTTTGGAGCAAGATGTTGAGATTAGGTATCAGTTCATGTATCATATTTATTTTGCAGCTGCCTTACTTTTTATTTAAGACCCACTGCCATCCTGCACTGAGTTAAACCACGTATAAGATACAGATACAGATGGATCTCCTCACGTCTGTGATTCACGTGCACTTCAAAATAGGGCAACACAGAAAGCCACTTCTTATCCTGACCAGATAGCAGTTATTGTTGCATACGGGAGTAGAATTATGGCACGCATTGATGGTCTTTAGTAAATCTTTAATGATTATTACATTTCACACAGACCATAATACAACAACTTCATAGGCTAAGATATGATTTCCACTTTCATTAACAAAGACAAATGTAGCGTATTGCAACTCACAACTGAGAGGTGGCGTCAAAGAGCCATACTATAACTACTCACTGATCCATGATACCTACACATTGATCCATGGGAAGCGTTTTCTTACGTGGACCCCGTGCAGCATACACGCAGAAGCACACGTCTAGGCTTCTTATAAAATTGACCCCAAACTGCCACTTACAAGTAGTACCTGTGCGTAGTTGTAGTAGTACGTAGAGTAGTAGATGTAGTCTAATAACAAATATACTTCATTCTAAAACGCCTTACTTTAGTGTACATACACACAGGAAACTCACACAATTACACCCAAAGCCAATTTGTGTGTTTCCTCCCGCTCAGCACATAATGGGGAGTCAGCGCCCTACTTTTATCTAAAGAATCGTCATCAAATTTGAAGGGAAATTATGTCGGAAATTAGCAAAAATTTTAAATGAAAATATATGAGTGCAATGTCCAAAATGACAGAGTTGCCCACTCGTTTTGGTTGTTTTGGTCCACACTGTTCAAAGTCATCATAAAATACATTTTTGGAACTTGGATATAATTTAGATCATACTTTTAATAAAATAAGCTATAGATCAGTGTACTTTATTTTGAAGGATATTTCCGGATGAACTGCCGCCAATGTATTTGTCTTTAAACCGGTTCCGGTGTTGGCTGCAGCCGCTGAGCTTTCCCACACCAAAGAAGAGCTGGAGTGTCGCCTTGCTGTGAGTGCGCGGTTGTCTTGTGGTTGAGGATATTTTACCTGTCTATATCAAACGGGGAAATTCCACCATGCCTTCCAATGCTCAAGGTAAACAATGCAAAAATGCTCTTGTTTTTCGCGCGCATCTATTCTGTCTCGTGGGCTACCCCAGCTTAGAGCGCACAATAGAGCATCAGCAGGCCGAGTGACCGCCTAAGGTGCAGCTAAGCCAATAAAAGTAGATCATCATTACATTAACCTGAGTATCTATTTTCAGGTGGTAAAGCTTTCGGTCTTCTAAAGGACCAACAACGACAAAAACTGGAAGAGATAAACCAGGTGAGTGATTTTGCTTCATCTCTGTCTGAAGTGCACAAGGGAATGTGGATGTAATGAGGGCGCGTACACTTGACTTGGCAATGGCCTTGTTTCTAAGCCTGTGTCTTTCAAGCCTACTTTATCCTCTCGTCCTGGGTTCATTATGTCACCGTGGTTTGGTCCTTCTATTATTGATCTCTGTGAGACTGGCCTGCTGCCCAGTGACACTTGTTGCATTGGGTCCACTGGGCATGGACTTGAACCTTCTGTAACTTGCTTATCAGTTTAGGATTTATCAGTTTAGGAGCTCTGGCTCTGAATGTAACCATGCAAGTGTTATCAGTGAGTTTGAGACTGGATTAAGCAAGTTTGTGACAATGGAGTAGGAGAGATCTGATGTTCTATTGGCCTACTGGCATATAGCAAGCTTAGACTTCTTATCAAGCCTGGTAATATTCAATAAATGTGTCATTGAATCATATTTGGATATGGCCTATCGTAGCTACTGGATATAAATAATATTCACAAGCCTCTATGGGGTCAAATCAAAATGTGTTAAGAATATAAAACAAATATATATATATATATAGTGGCTACAACAGATACCGGGAAAAACAATGGACATCTCAGTCCAGAAAAGTGCAGTACTGGGAACAGCAAAGATACTGCGCAGAACTCTCAAGCTCCCAGGCCTCTGGTAGAGGACCCGAGCTGAATGAGGGTGAGAGAGACCTACCACCGTGGAAGGTGAGAAACACATTTTTTTTTTTTTTTTTTTTTTTTTATGTGTGTGTATTAATTACAGAATTGAATGGCTGGTGTAGGCTTACATCTCGTTCACATTTAGAACCAAACATTTTACAATATTCTGTTTAGCATATTACAAGAAGTGGGCTTATCCAATGTGTGTGTGCTAATGTCTGACACATATGTCTAAAACATGAATGTACACAAAAATAAAACCTACTGTGAAAAAATAACGATAACTTTAGTAGGCATTGTCCCTGCAAGCAGTCTAATCAAGGTAATGCACAAGGCTACATATTCGCCCCTGTTCTCCAGATAAACCATGAGATTGGACATTCCTTAGTGAAGGCTCTAGCGGTGGCTCATTTGACTGCGTCAGGCAGCCTGTACACATCCACAGAAGGAGTTTATGTCTTCACATTTAATTATAAACTACACAGACACGTTGGGGTCAATAAGCAAAATCTAAATTGCTTAAGACCTCCTCTTTTCCTGCTCTATGAGAAGACTGAGGTGACTCCCATAGCAGATTGCTCCATTATAATTTCATTAGCACTGGTTCCTCTGGGTATTATGTTCTTTCCACTTTGCCTCTTGTGAAGTGTTCCACTTAATCAGCAAACACAATCACAACACTAGATATGAGATGAGGCTTAGATTTAGGTGTATTGCTCTCATGTATGTACACATTTTAAACTAACTTGATCAGAGGAATGTTATATTGTTTCATTTACCTGATTTTTTAAATATTTTCATCCCAGGAATACTTAGAAGATCAGAAGTACAGTGATGAAGAGGATTTGGCTGTGAAACTGGAAGGTTTTAAAAGTAAGTTTGCTGGGTTTTTGTTATTTTTTTATCCTTTTCTTGTCCTGTCCTACTTTTTTGGGAGAGCAAAGCCTAAAGTATTTTGTTTTCTTCTGTGGTCCTGCATGGTCTGGGAGGAATGTGCTGCTGGGCGTTCCACAGCCTGTTGTTATACTATTCAATTTTTTGTTTAAACTCTTCTGTCTCCCGAGGATAAGAAAAAATCTGTTTGGGTAGAGGGATTTAAAGGAATATTGCCATGTTTTATTTCAGTGTGGAATCATTTCCATGATTGTACAAACATATAGTAGGCTCTATCCTGTCTTTTGACCAAATAAAACAGAAAACATAAGAAAGCATACTTTATTTCTACAAACAATCTTATTGAGATAAAGGAAATGGATCAGTAATATAAACATTAAGCCCATATATGTTTTCTTATTTTTCTATGATCCTGTCCCACTGACCCGAGGGTGGTGGGAAATATTTATGTCTATCCCCTTGTCCCAGCAGACCTCCAGCCAACAAAAACACGCCTGGATAATGTATAAAAATATAACAAATCAAATGTTCTAAGATAGAAATATTAGAAATTATTATTTTAAATTTCTGCAAAGAGCCTTTCCTGTTAGTAGGGATGACTATGCCTATTAACTTGAAACTAACTATACTGTGGAATGTATTGAAAACTGATCATAGAGATGGGTCCCAGTGCGCTGTATGGCAGTAGTAGTTCTGCTTTTGTTCTTGGGTAAGACACTTCACTCATATTGTCTAGTGCGCGCGTCTGTGTGTACGAGTGTGTGTACGAGTGTGTGTACGAGTGTGTGTACGAGTGTGTGTACGAGTGTGTGTACGAGTGTGTGTACGAGTGTGTGTACGAGTGTGTTTTATTGGTGGTGGTCAGATTAACACTATCGCTTAAGTCAGTCTACTCCAGGGCAGGCAGTGCGTTGACAAGCCTGTAAACGCAAAGCATGCTTGTCACAAGTGTTGGTATTATTATAATTGTAAATAAACAGGAACTTGCAGTGTAATCTAAGTAAATGAAAGTATACACTATACTCTCAAATTACCAAATTCATTCTAGTAAGGATGTAAATTGGGAAAAAAAACAACAACTTTGGTCTAAACTGAGTATTGTTTTTATTGTCTGGACATTTAGATCCTGGACCCTATCAAGCCCTGCAGAAAGGAAAATGCTATATTTTTGAACAGCTAAAGGTTTAAGCCATTTCAGACTATGTAACACATCAGAGAATGTAGTTTTTGAACATAATCAATGACTTGTAATCATTGACATCCTCCTTTCAAGAACAGTTAAACATCCAGTTGTTTTGAACTGATACCCCTGTCATTCCACAGGGAAAAGGTCAAAGGTCATTGAAAATCAAATAGACTTGATTTTGTCCTTCATTTTCTGTGGCTGTAGAATATGATAAACAGGCTGCCTCCAGACATCTTTCTCTTGAAATTATGCTGCGTGCATGTGTGTGTGGGGGCCCTCTCTTCTGACTCGACGAACAGGCGTAGCATTGTCCTGTCCCACTCCCCAGGGCTTCAAAGAGTTAAGTTTCCTCCTTTCTCTGCCTCCGCATACAGAGCTCCCATTGTGAGATTGAAATAGCAAGTGTAATCGGACCAAAGTGGCCCAGAGAAAAGAGGTGACGAAATTTAGGAAGACGCGGGAAAAGGGTCCTCTAATATCTGTCTCTGCCATTTTGAAAGCATATCAACAGTTGTGACTCATGGGCTTCGTTTACCATAACTAGATTTAACACTGAATCAAAATGCCCAGATTTGTGTTGAGTTGCACGTTAAAAAATCTATTGCTGTGTTCAAGACCTCCTTTCTTTTAAAATACTGCCAACTTCAGCTGTGCCAGTCTCAGCTGCGCACTGCTTGGTTTTGACTCACACCTGTCATTATCAGCTGTGGAACTCTCCCTTTTGCCACGCCAACTGTCTGACATGTCTGTACTGTTTATAGTTCTCATAGTCAACCAAATGTAGATATGGCTGTCAAAGATCGATTGATTCAAAAGAAAATAATAATGAAATCTTTAGAGATGTCTTTTCTCCCTTTTTTAAACGTAGATTTAATAAGTTTTTTTCTTATACTGTAAGCATTTAAACAGGTCTTCCCAGATTATAAGTATTCTTCATCTTTTATTTTTACAGATAAATATGCAGAATTTGACCTGAATGACCAAGGAGAGATTGGTGAGTACGTTTACACACAAAATGCAACAGTGGTTGTGTATTGAGCCATGTAGAAGGCCCACACCAAAACACAGTAATCAAACACTAGTGTATTATCTGGGCCATGAGATCACACTTCTTGGGCAGGCTTAGATTGCAGGTTAGTGTTGTTTGTAAAATGACACCAGTCTGTTAGACATGAGGTTAGCTCAAATTAAGACAAACTTAATTGGTAGAAAATGTTTACATGTATTATTTACATACAGTCAAGCCCAAAATTATTCATACACCTGACAAATTTTGGCTTAAAGTTACTTTTATTCAACCAGAAAGTTTTTTCTTGATTGGAAATGACACAGGTGTCTCCCAGGAGTTAATAAGACAATGTACAAGAGGCATCATTGAGGAAAAAAAATAGTTCTCAACTTTTATTTACATTTGAATGAAAAGTGGCATGTCCAGAATTATTCATACCCTTTTCAATAATCAATAAAAAAGCCTTTATTGGCTATTACAGCAATCAAATGCTTCCTATAATTGCTGACCAGTTTTTTGCACATCTGTACTGGTATTATGGCCATTCATCTTTAGCATTGAACTCCAATCCTTTTGGATTAGAGGGTCTTCTTGCCATCACCCTGTTCTTTAGCTCCCTCCACAGATTCTCAATTGGATTGAAGTCAAAACTCTGGCTGGGTCACTGCAAAACGGTAATGTTGTTGTCCAATAACCATTTCTTCTCCACTTTTGCAGTGTGCTTTGGGTCATTGTCGTGCTGAAATGTCCACTGGTGCCCAAGTCCAAGTTCCTCTGCAGGCTGCTTGATGTTGTTGTTGAGAATCTTGACGTATTGCACTTTGTTCATGGTGCCATTTACTGTGATTAGACTACCTGGCCCATTGGCTGAAAAACATCTCCAAATCATTAGGTCCCAACCCTATTTGACAGTGGGGATGGTGTTCTTAAGGTTGAAGGCTTCTTCTTTTTTATGCCAAATCATCAATACATCATGAACGTTATGTATTTTTAAATAATACTTTGCACTGTAGCCACTGGACCTTAAAAACCTTTAGATATGGCCTTATAGCCCTTTCCTGATTTGTGAGCAGCCACAATACACAGCCACAGAGCCTCAGAGAGCTCCTTTGTCTTAGCCATGACTGTTCACAAACGAACTGCAAAGACCTGCTGTTGTATTTCATCCCTACTGACCGCCAGAGGCGGTACTTCAAGCACTGGATCATCCTTGCGCATGCGCAGGTCGAGAATTTAGTAACAACAAAGTCAGCCTTGACCTCCGGTGGCTCAGGTGAGTCTATATAATCACGTGACACCGGAAAGTCCTTTTTCACCTTCTCGCACGCAGGATGCATGGTTGATGTGTTGCAAAGCCTTTTTGCTATTTCCACTGTTTTGTTATCGCTGCTTGTCGCCTGTAGCCCCGTGACTGTACAACAGTCGGTGCTGCAAGTTCCCTCGCCCTCCTGGGGCTGCACAAGCAGTGGATCAGCCTACTGGTGTCCGTTGTGGAGGTAGGCTGCTCTTATTTACATTAGTTTCGCCGTAGCTACATGCTCGGTAGCTTTACGTTGCTGTTTTGACATAGCCCAGGGGTGGGCAAACTACGGCCCGGGGGCTGTATGCGGCCCTTTAAACCTTTTAGTCCGGCCCGCCGAACTTGAATAAATTATAGTAATAAACCTTGTTAATGTTTTATTTTTCCTGCATTTCCGGCGTTTCCCAGTAGATGGTGCACTACATATACATTGAGGTGTGGCTTATTATGTTGGCCGCAATGCTTTATGGGAAAGTGTTCTTTCGGACTAGCTAGTGACAAGAGTCATTCTCGGTCGATGTATTCGGACCATGAGTGAGGCAGAAGTGTTCAAGACATAACGTTGCATTGTTTCCATTCTGAATTGGGTGAAAGTAAAGTTGAAAAACTTGTGGACTCATTTAGGATTCATCAGTAGATCTGCATCTTCTACAATTTTTAAAATAAAGACAATCAAGAGGAGAGTGATGATGATAAGATCCTGAAGGAGAACAGAACTTTCAGTGCGTTTAAATAGTAAATGTTAGTAATTTTAAAAAATGTATTTTATTTATTAAATTTTCAGTGTTTTGGAAAGACAGATATTTGGCTGTGATACTTTGTAGTGACTTTCAATTGAAATTCAAGCACAAGTTTTCTACATATCTCATGTTATTTTTTTTATCTCTCCACTCCATCCATCTGCTCCTGGTCCGGCCCTTCCCTCAAATTTTAGAACCCTTTGTGGCCCCCGAGCCAAAAAGTTTGCCCACCCCGATATAGCCGCTTGTGTTTAGTTTTCCATTTAACTCTGATTCATTGGTTTTTTTTTCAGATTTGCCACATTTGGCTAGTTTCCTGCACTTTGTTTTGTAGCCATATATTGGCACGGCTATTAATTTATTGATTACTACTGTCACTGAATAGCCACGTGCAGTTTATTCTTCATGATTATTGCTAGTACAATTGATCAGCGTGAGTCTCTAGTGGCGTTCCCTGCTCGACCTGACCCTAATATGGAGCACCAGTTCGGAGTGCGGCGTTGTTTGCCGGCCACTAGTGGCGTTCCCTGCTTGACCTGACCTGGCCTCATCTTCACTGGTGCACGCTGGTTTATTGCTGAGTCGCTAGTGGCATATTCTGCTTGACAGTACTCTGGCGTACGGACTTCTGGACTTCTACGTTATACTGGGCTGCGTTACGCCCCTAGAGTGCTAGAGTCCTTATGTTGTCAGTCCTGTCTAGTTCCACTACAGCCTGATGATGGGCATGACCTGTATCCTGCCTGCCAAGGGGAAGAACATCTGCAGGAGGCCCTCACTGAGGATGCATGTTCGAACTGCAGTATTTTGCCCTGGTCTGTGCGTTTAGCCCGTTTGGCTGCATTCCAGGAGCCCTCTTCCTGGATGTTCGCGAGAATTTCAGACCTTTTACTGGCTGACTAGCCTGTTAATCGCAAGCGATATTCTACTGGGGAGGAATGTGTTCCACATAAGCCCAAGAAGGGGGTTCCGGGGAAGCTGGAAGATGGATACATTGTCAACTGAATTGGCCCAAATGCTGGCCTTAATTCAGGACCTTCAAGCAGATGCCAGCCGTGTGGTGGCTCCCCAACAACAGCAGGATGTGGCCTCTGTCTGTGATGATGCCATGTCTGTAGCAGCCTCTGACACCCATTTTCAACTAGGATGTGATGACCTGAGTTCTAAAGTCTCAGACTTGGGGTCCCTACGCTCTACCTGTTCTCAGGCTGGGAACGATGAGTCTGTCACTGCAGCGATACGCATAGCTCTTGGCCGTTTAAAACTGGATATGCCGTTGGCTGAAATGGCTCCCTCTAGTGCCTTCTTTCGCTGGCAATCTACTACTTCTCACTTTACAGTTCCTCCCTCGGCAGAATATGTAAAGCAACTTCATGCCTGTCTGCGACCGCAATGCCGTTTTACAGACAATTTGCTCTGTAAGGCATACGATATGGGAGCCCGCATGGGTCGAATTGGGAATTCTCTGTCCCATTTGCTGCTTGGCCTGTCTGTTTCGTTGTACACTGTTCCGGTGGACCAGCCTACGCCTACTGGGCCACCCACAGCCCAGATACTTGGGTTGTAGCCACTTGGTCCTGGGGATATCAACTACAGTTCTGCCGCCGGTCGCCTGTTCCCGGTCAAGTCAAGATCACGATTATCTGGGACACATTGAAGGCATCCCTCGGGAGGTGTTCTGGGCATGTCCCACCGGGAGGAGGCCCCGGGGAAGACCCAGGACACGCTGGAGGGACTATGTCTCTCGGCTGGCCTGGGAACGCCTCGGGGTCCCCCCGGAGGAGCTGGAGGACGTGTCTGGGGTGAAGGAAGTCTGGGAGTCCCTGCTTAGGCTGCTGCCCCCGCGACCCGGCCCCGGATAAGCGGACGAAAATGGATGGATGGACATTGAAGGCACAGACACTGGCTCAGGAAATACATACCTTGCTGGACAAAGGTGTGATAGTTCCTGTGGACCCCCTGCTGGATCCAGGGGGCTTTTATTCTCGTTAATTCCTGGTACCAAAGAAGATGGGCGATCTGTGCCCAGTCTTGGACCTCAGGGGTCTGAACATGTTTTTAAAAGTCGTCCCATTCAAGATGTTGGGTGTCCTTTAAGCAGGGCAGGTCCTTCAAGCTATCCTCCCCGGGGATTGGTTCACTTCCATAGACCTGAAAGATGCATATTTTCATGTACCCATTGCTCCTCAGTCCTCACCATTGGAGATTTCTTCACTTTGCTTTTCGAGTGGAGCACTTCCAATTCAGGGTCCTTCCATTTGGCCTATCTCTATCCCCTCGTGTGTTCACGAGGTGTGTTTCCACTGACACCGCACTTTGCCAGTCTGAGAGCTGTGCACATTCCAGGGGTTCAGAACATGTCGGTGAACTTCCTGTCTCGACAAGGGCCATTGCCAGGAGAACGGAGGCTTCACCCAGAGGTGGTGGAACACATTTGGGAGTTGTTCGGCAGGGCGAATGTGGATCTATTTGCCTCCCAGAAGACGACGCACTCCCCCCTTTGGTTTTCATTGGTGGATTGTGTCAGCCCTCTGGGTAAGGATGCACTGGCTCACGCCTGACCCAGAACACTTCTTTATGTGTTCCCACCATTTCCTCTGTTTTTTCAGACACTGCTCCAGGTCCTCCAGGAAGGCCACAGTCTCCTTCTGGTGGCTCCATTCTGGCCAGTGAGGACCTGGTTTTCTCTGTTGCTCAGGCTTTGCAGCGGCCCTGCATGGTGTTTTCCCTCCAGGAGGGATCTCCTGCCGCAACTGGGGGGTCAGATTCTGCATCCCAACCCCAGTCACCTGAAACTCTGGGTGTGGCCCTTTCAAGGCCTGGCCTAGCCTTCTCGGAATACACCGGAGACATAAGGGACACAATGACCGTGCCCATCTACATGCAGGTTGTATTCTTGCAAGCGGAAGCTTTTTGACACGTATTGTTGCAATGGGGCAGGACCCAGTCCACTACCCTGTTTCCATGGTTCTCACTTTCCTGCAGGGGTTGCTGAATCAGGGACGTACGCTGTCTACCCTAAAGGTATATGTTGCTGCCATTAACTGCTGGCATGCAGGGTGGAATGGCTGTAATGTTGGTCATAACCAGGATATTTTGGTGTTTCTGAGGGGTGCTCGCCGCTTGCTTCCACCCAACCGCCCTGTTGTAACAACATGGGATCTTCCTTTGTACTCGAGTCCCTGCGGGCTCCACCATTTGAGCCACTTGCACAGATCGACCTTAAGTGGCTCTCGATGAAGAATGTGTTCCTGTTGGCCATGACTTCCGCTAAATGGGTGAGCATGTAGCTCACTCACCCGTTTAGCGGAAGTCATGGCCAACTCTTATCTGTTCACCAATCCTGTTGCCACTGGCATCCTGATGGCTCTGGGGTTTCGCTTTGGCCTAATGCAGCTTTTGTTCCGAAGGTGCCCTCGTCTACACAGCACACTCTGCCACTACAGCTTTCCCGTTTTGAGGCGGGAACTCCTGCCGAATTGCTGCGTCCTGTACGTGCGCTCGAGGCATATATTCACTTCACAGCTTCTGTACAGAGGTCGGATAGCCTGTTTGTCTGTTTTGCTGGCTCATGCAGCGGTATGGTCCTTTTAAAACAGCACCTTGCTGGATTGTGCAGGTCATAACAAAAGCATATGCTTTACAGGGGCAGTCGTTGCTGTCTGGGGTCCGGTGTCACACCACAAGGGGCCTCTCGACTAGAGCCCGACCGATATATCGGCTGGCCGATATTATCGGCCGAAATGGGCACATGGAGACATATCGGCTATCGGGCGATATGCTTGCTGATATGTGGGCATGTTATACCTCGTTATAAAGCTTAGACTCTCTACATTATGTTCATTTAATCAAATTTACAGACAGATAAATGTCCTAATATGTGGCTCCGCACCAGTATTTATCTGCGGTGTAATTTGTCTGTGTCTGTGTCCGTACTGTCCCTGAACACAGCCCCAGAGTCACGTCACTTCACTCACGTGTGTTTGTTTACACCTGCAGCGGTGCGCAACACTGAGATTATTTTCTTTTTACGGACAATCGGTTTGAGTCTGGATTAAAAGGACATTTATTAGTGCAGACTTGTGATGTGAGGAGGAGCCTGTGTGAGCGGTGAGTGTTGGAAATACATCGACTTTGAAGCTAGTTTAGGTTTTGTTAGCAATTAGCTGCTGTAGCTCCTGCACATAAACAGGCTGTTTAAACATAACTGTTTAAACAGGCCTATTGTAAAGTGACTACATTGGCCGTATGCATGTTACTGGACCAGCATTGATATGTAAATGAGTTGTGAATAGACGTGTGAATGATCCACATTTATGCATATAATTAATTACCGCTGTGCGCACGGCTAAAGGCTAATAGCGATTGCTTATTTACTAGCTAGGAGTTACGGGTCGGTCGCGATCGAAGCGGCTCTTAGAGCCGACTCTTTGAAGCGAACAACGGGAGCATGTTTCTTATTGGGAGCCGTGTTTTCTCTTTTTCTCACTTTTTCTCTTCAAGCCGCATGTAGACCCGTAGTTTGACAGCAGCAGCGGCTGAAAACGAAACTTTCAGAACTATGCGTGTGCACAGGATAAAAAAAAAAGTGTTTTATTTTTTATATTTGGCTGCAGTTCAGCATCAAATGAATAAACCAGAAGTAATCTTGGGCTAGAGCAGTGCTTCTCAATTATTTTCTGTCATGCCCCCCCTAGGACGAATAAAACATCTCGCGCCCCCCCGCGTGACTATAGATAGTATCATTTGTCTATAAAATTGTTATAAGTACACCTGTGCGTAACACTGCCACCTTATATGACGCCAACAACGCTCGCTGGTTTACTGAAGTAGCAGTCACAAAGCGGGATGATTGTCGGCAGTATTCGGCACGTTTTCGCTGAAAAAACTCAAGCGGCTTATCAGAGTGATTGGGGTGTAATGTATTTAAGTGACGCCTTAATTTATTGGGCTTCATGCTGTCCGCTGCCAACATTTTTAGACACAGTAAGCACACCGGTCTTTCCTCGTCTCCCACCGTAGTCACAGTGAAGCCAAGCGCTACATACGCTTCGTCATATTTCCTCGTCTTAGCTTTCGGGAGATTTTCGTTTGTCTCTTTATCTCCGTCTCTCTCCACCTGTCTTCTCATCCCTGTTAAATATTTTTTCATGGTGTCACTTGAGGGTCTGCTACACTTCGTGTCTACACTTCATACTCAAACTCTGTGCTGTGTGCAAAGCGCGCATGCTCAGTGCAAACAAAACTCCTACACCACCGAACGAATGCTCCCTGCGCACACTCTGCCAATGAGAGCGCCACTGCCCCCTAATGTAGTGGAAGTGCAATTGCACTTTATTCTAAAGGCCCGTTCAGACCAAAGCGTCAAAGCGTCCACTTTCTATGTAAAGTCTATGTGGACGCGCGACTAGAGCGTCCTGCGTTTTTGCGGCGCGTTTTCGGCATCAGCGCGGCGCGAATCTGGCGCCAGCGCAGCGCGTCTTCAGCGTTTTGGCGTCAGCGGCCAAGACGCGCGTCCAAGGCGTCAGCGTCAAGAAGTTGAAAATGCTGAACTTTTCGCGTCAGACGCGCCGCGTCAATCAATCAGGGACGAGTATCTAGAGACGCAGCGACGTTATTATCAGGAAGAAAGACCCGAGAATCAGAACGAGAACCACAAACATGAACAGAGAATAAATATATACGCGACAATCACCGAGCCGATCGCGAGGAATACACCAGGACCGGACCAGGACAAAACAAGGACTAGACCGAGACTAGACCGAGACTAAACAAGGACTAGACCGGGACTAGACCGTGATTAGACCAGGACTAGACCGGGACTAGACCGTGATTAGACCAGGACCAGACCGGTATTAGACCAGGACTAGACCGGGACTGATCCAGTGTCATTAGCGGAGTAGAAATATATAAACGCCCAAGTCGTCGACCCGATCTCCTCCTTTGATGTTTTATGTCATAAAAACACTCTCTCAGTCTGGTCTGACATTGTTTCGGGAAAAGAGCGGGACCGGGCTCTTGTTTCCAGGGCAACGGACGCGCGTCAAGTATTTTTGTCCCGTTCGTCCACGGCGTCAAAGATGCGCGTCGGGGGCGTCTAAACTCAAATGCAAAGGCTCCAAATAGAGGCGACAAGGCGTTTTTTGACGCTTTGGTGTGAACGGCCCTTAAGACAGTAAAAAAAAATCAAAATAAAAAAATAAAGAAGCATGCTCCCCGAGGTCAAACGCGCCCCCCTTGACGGAGCCTCGGGGCGCGCCCCACTATTTGAGAAGCACTGGGCTAGAGTGAGGGAGAGAGATAGAAACCGAGTCCCGACACTCAATCCTGGTTCAGTTCTGGTTCAGTTCTGGTTTAGTGGTGTTTTACACATGGTTTAAATCTGTTTTAGTCCTGGTTTAGTCTTTTTTCAGTCCTGGTTCAGTTCTGGTTTAGTCCTGCTTGCAACAAAACAATCTCAAGAGTCGCTTTGGAGCCGAAAGAGCCAGCTGCTTTAGTGAGCCGAGCCAAAAGAGCCGGTTTTCAAAAAAAAAAAAAACTGGAATACCCATCACTAGTAGCCAGAATGTGATGCAAAAATGCCATTAGGCCAATCTACTGTCTGTAAATATGATGTAAAGAGGCAGAACAACAATAAATGTTGCCTAAATAAACCCAATTTAGAATCCACTAGAGCCAAACCTAAGTTTTTTAAACAATTCAAGATTTACAGTGAATTTTTACATCACTAAATATATCAGCGAATATATCTGTGAATCCTGGATGACCGCCAGAGTGCCCGGTTCCTCAGTATCCTCGTGCTTTTGTGAGAACGTTTGAGGGACTGAGCTTCCGGTGTCACGTGATGATATAGACTCACCTGAGTCACTAGTCAAGGGTGACTTTGTTGTTACTAAATTCTCAGCCTGCGCATGTGCAAGGATGACCATCCAGTGCTTGAAGCACCGCCTCTGGCGGTCATCCGGGATTCATGGAACCGCAGTTACAGTCGTAACTATCGGTTTTCACCTGTTTTAGTTGCTTAAAACAGCTCTTCCCAATGAATCAGGGTAATTAGGAAGCTTTAGAACAGCTTGTGCTGTTTGGAATGGTATAGAACTTTGGATTTTTCCGTAGACTCTGACAGTTTGCAAAGGGTATGAATAATTTTGGACATGTCACTTTTTGTTCAAATGTAAATAAAAGCTGAGAAATATATATATTTTTTCCACAATGATGCCTCTTATACATCGTCTTATCTCCTGGGAGACGTCTGTGTCATTTCCAATCAAGAAAAACTTGCTGGTTGATTAAAAGTAACTTTAAGTCAAAATTTGTCAGGGGTATGAATAATTTTGGGCTTGACTGTATACATTTTCAAACTAATAAATGCAGCTTAATGTGCACTGAATAGAATGTACTATAGAATAGAATCACTATCAAATAAGTATTTTGCAATAATGATTATGTGTATTCTTTTTCATTTGCTGTAAGCCACAGTGATCATAATTCACAATTATACACAAATAGGTCTTCAGATATGTAACTGAATATGTACCTCCATACTGCGTTTTAACTTAAAGCTGAACTTGACTCAGATTGCTTCTGGAAGTTAAATGGTTGCTGATTTTCTTTTAGATTTGATGGGTCTGAAAAGGATGATGGAGAAGCTTGGAGTACCTAAAACTCATCTAGAATTGAAGAAAATGATTGTAGAAGTAACGGGAGGTAGCAGCAACACTATCAACTACAGGGATTTTGTGAAGATGATGCTTGGAAAGCGCTCTGCAGTACTTAAGCTGTGAGTACACATGAACATAACATTTTGGTATTGTCCTATTGTCCTCATTATTGGTGCTAAAAGGCTGTCTGCTGTCAATGTGAGCCAGTGTCAACAAAATTATTTGCAAGAGTTTATGAATCATAATAATGATGTCACTGACCACATGCTTCAGTAGTATTCTGTTTGTTGATGGTCACAGCCTTTTTCTCTGTCTTCGGATCATGTGGATTGAGTGACTGTCACAAAAGATTAGAGAATATACAACTTAAACTTTCTTAACATTTGTTTGTGAAATTCTGGATAAATTCCACTGAATATCTAACTGGAAAGTTTGACTTTTTTCTTTTCATTTAATCCTTTAAGATTGCTCTAGAAGCTCACTCTTTAAATAGACGCCTTTTATGTTATAACATTAAAGCACACAACAGCTTCACAACCAAGTACACAGACACAATACCTGTCTGATTGCACTGAAACTATGTCATCAGGGCCTGATGTGTGAAAAGAGGCTAAGATAGTGCCAGATTTTTCTCACAGCTCTCTGGCTTAGTGGAGCTTTGCTGAAGTTTCCCAAAAAAGGAAATTAAAGACTGCCAATAAGAATAGCTCCTGTCAGGTCCTTCACTCATCTCAGTAGCACAGATTTACCAGCTATTTTCTTCAGTTCTGTTTTAACTTTTTGACATTCCTTTTCTTTCTTTAAAGGTCCTGCATTACTTACAATTGAAAACATGTTAATATTTTTTTCAAAACATACCTGCAGTTATTTTGTTTCATTCATAGACTAATAATAAATTATAACTCAAACATCGGTCTCCAAAGCTCAAAATGCTCTGTTCCTCCTGGTGATGTCATGAAGCAGTACTTTTACTTAACAACTACCTTTTACTTTTTGTTCAGTAGAGAATTCCAGGGTTGAAATGACCCAAATGATTCTAATGAAGGTTTATCAAAATTAAAAACACAATGGTGCATTCCTGTATTACCACATGACATCACAAGGTGGAGCAGGGTGTTTTCTGTTTGAGAGAAGAACTCAGCCTAAATATGCAGGGTTTGTGTGTTAAATTGTGTGACTGAAAAAAAAAACACAACTCCATACTATATGAACAGTATTAACTACAACAGACTCACTTTGCGTTAGTTTGTTTCAAAATTAAAATTAATTTATGCCACATCATTCTGTTAAAATTAGATTAAATTTACTTTAGAGTCAATCTACAGGAACAATGCTATACTGCATTTTGCAGTGTCATTTGCCAATTCAGCATCATTCCCTCCATTTTGGTCTTACTTCACAAGGTTGGGTGTTACTTAATATGCCCTTCTGTTACCTAACGCTATATTTAACTGAACAAGGAATGTATATAACAATCGGGAAAAATTATGTGGCTTAACATGACATATTTGGTATCTATGTCTAATAGAGCACAAGTGTTGTTTTTGTCTTTCATGCCTTTATTTCCTGCTTTTTCATGTTGCTGTATTTTTAACTGAAGTCAAATATTTTTCAGCGTCTTAATCTTTGAGGACAAAGCTAATGGCTCCCCGTCCAAGCCATCAGGGCCCCCTCCAAAGCGGGACATTGCCAGTCTGCCTTAAGCCCAGATGTTTCCAGTCTACAGTGGAAGGACTGTTGGTCATCTTGTGTAAATGAGCCTTTCTTCTTCATTATCTTGGGTGTTGTTGTAGTGCGAGAACAGTCTGTAAGGATTTGAACTTTGTAACTTTTATCATAAATGACCCCAGTGTTGTGTATTTGAAAGACACCTGGATTTACTTCATGTTGGACTGTGAATATCTTTGACCCATTTATTTTTAATATGTAGCAAGGCTAGTTTTGTGTTTTATAATTGCATTTTAAGGGAAACTGTGTCATTGTGTTATTTTTACAAGATGCTGTTTGAATGCATTGAATAATTTTATTTCCAAACTCTTTTTTTTTTTTTTTTTTTTTTTTTTTTCCAGTGTGCTCGGTCTTTTTGATAGGCTCTTTTGTGTAACTATGCTTCAGGTTAGGCACTGTTGCTCTACATTTATATAGAGATAATGAGAAGCTTGAAAGAATACTGATCCAGTTGGTATGGGTAACTACTGAATGTTGTTAACGATGGCTTAAGTCTGTGGGACTGTCTTCAACCTCAGATGGACAACACGGATGACAATGTTGATTTCATGTTGAAATGTCAGTAGTTACACATATAAGTAACATTATTCTCTACAATCATTTTCTCCAAGTGCCTCGCTTGCAACTTGCTTGAGGAAATGCATAAGGTTCAGTTCAATTGGTAGAATTATTGTTGTAATTTTTTAACATTTGTCTTTTTAAACATGAATTGTTGATTTAAATTCTGTATGTTGTACATATATTTAATGGGGATTTTCTTAACATTTTGTAACATTGTGTTGTTTCCTTAAACATTACATTAATTAAGCAATTTTGTGTTTTTACTGCTTTCTCATCCACTGTTAAGTCAAATGTAATTAGTTTTGTGTCATTTTGTTTTCTTTTCTTGTGCCTCATTTTATGTGTTTTTTTCCACAATTGTGTGAATTTTAATTATTTTTACCCACCCATTTTTATAGATTAAATGCAGTCTGCTTTAACATTATTTCACTTTTTGCAAGATACGCATTAAATGCAGACACCAAAGTAATAAAAAAATGTTTCACTGTAAAATCATTATTTGGTAGATCTGGTTGATTGGATAGCCCTCTAACTCTAGGCCTCAGACCAAGAATATCCTGGATTTCTGTGCGGTTTCCTTGTTTCTCTCTATGGTCTAGGTGGGTTTTTCTCCAGACACTCGGGTTAAGATGGTCTTGACCAAAAACTTTTACAAAATCTTGAAATGACTTCCCATAAACTCCTGATAATTTGCTCCAGCTGCTGCATTAAAGTATGATTCTAATTTCCATACAGGGATTCATATCTTACATGCAATTAAAACTAAATATTTTGTTGCTTAAAACGCAGGCACAGATTGCAGTTAAAAATATATATTAAACTATAGCAAAAAAAAATATTGTGTTAAATTAGACACAAGTTGACTGTCAGTTTAGGAAACTTTGACTCTAAAACTTTTGTCCAGTTGACAGAAAAGAATTGTCTTTTGCCTACCTACCAGGACGGCTGAGAGATTACACAGACATCTATCAAAACAATAAATGACATGAAGTAGAAAAGCATGCAGTTTATCCACTGCCCTATCACTAATATTTTGTGACGACACTGACATCTACTGGTCAAAGAATTATTTGAGGAAATTAAAACTAATTAGCTACTGTTAACATTTACAGTAAAGGTTACTTAATCTTTCATATCAACGCAAAAATTACAAACACATGGAACATTGTAACAAGATTTGATAAAGCCTCCAGATTTGTAGAAGAGTCATAGCCTACTGGTAACAAGCAAAGACTGCGGTTAACTATGATTAAAAAATATATATATATCCAAAAGCTTCACTTTGTTTTGGCCTTCTTTGTAAGCTGTCTGTTGTCTACGTTTTCGTCATAAATAGACCTTGATAACTTTCTATTTTGCTTTTGATAATTCCCAATGAACAGTGAACGCATCGGATTACGTGGTGTAGTGTTTGGCGAATCACGGCCGCGCTGCACAGCCTCCCTCCAGGATCCGTGCTCCGGGAGAGGCACAGCGGCTCAACTACAGACGCACGTCGCCCTGCTCGGACCATCTCTGCCCGCCGCATATAACCCTGCCGCAAGGCCACTGCGGGAAGATGGCGACAGACAAAACCAAACACGAAGGAAGAGTTAAGATTGGACATTATATTCTGGGTGACACTCTCGGAGTGGGAACATTTGGGAAGGTTAAAGGTATGTTACAACTGCGTGCTGCAAACTGAAAGATGGTGGCTATTAGCTCATTGCTAATTTAGCATCAGGAAAGCTAACTTGTACCGCTTGGAAGTTAACACACTTGTTGTCTTGTCACTTGTCTTCTTAGTTAAACAAAAACGGTTGTGTTTACATTTTTATTCATACGGGATGGATGTTAGTGGTGTCAAGAATATTTTTGGTTGTTTACAACAGGATCTTTGTACACTCAATGTAGCTCACTGCGTATTGAGCGGAACAACGAGCCACAAGTCGGTTCAAACCAGGTATCCTACCGGGAAGTAACTCTAAATCTCTAACCCTTGCTGTTCACCCACACTGGGTACAAATTAACCAAGGAGGTGTCCTCCCACTCTAATTTGTCAAAGTAACTACCGCTCGACTTTGTACTCTTCAAGTAGCTTTTGTGCAGCCGAGCAGACGCCAGGATGTCATAGAGGGGAAGGTGCTGTGTGAAAATGAATCGATGCCCCGAGCTGTCATTAAAGAGGGGGCACAATAGGCACGTTTCAAGTAGTCCTGGTTCTATGTTTGATGCTGGGTTAGATTATTTTACCTAAATCACTCGACAGCCATTAAAATATGTGTCATTGTCATGTCTGTGTGTTTGTTTGTAGGTGATGGCTGTTGGAACATAACTGTTTACAGTTCATATTCACTTGTATTAATCCTTGTTTTGGACAGGTTGATCTAATGTTTTGCTTTGCCTTTTGTTTCCTAGTGGGCCAACATGAACTGACCAAGCACCAAGTGGCTGTGAAGATCCTGAATAGGCAAAAGATACGCAGTTTAGATGTTGTGGGGAAGATCCGCAGGGAGATCCAGAACCTCAAGCTTTTCAGGCATCCTCACATAATTAAACTGTAAGTCCTTCATTACACTTCTTCACTTTTCTTTAATTCCATAAATGTGCATTCATGTCTCCAACTGAGCTATTTTTGTACTTCTACTTTACACTCATAAATAAGGCCATTAACTGCCAGTGTTTGCCATGGTTGTCAGAATCGATAAATATATTTATCCTAAAAAGTTACTGCAACTGTTAGTTTTAGAAACTAGAAAATTCCCTGGGAAAATAGCAGACATTAACTAAAGTCAGGAATTGCGCTCTCTCTAAAACAGCAGTTTCATATCATGCATGCACAGGAATGTAAACTGTGTTTGCTTGTGTGAGAGTGAGAGAGATACCATCTTGTACAGTTTCAGTACACTGGGGCAGAGGCCAGGCTGGACCTCACCTGCATTGAATATGCCTCATTATAATAATTGTAATCTTTCTTTTTTCATATTTAGGATATAATATCAAATAACAATGTTGAGTTTATTTACAGTTCATATGTAGGTCAATAATATTTATTACTGTATCAATAGAGCAGAATCACATTTAAGTTAATTAAAGGCATTATAACTCTGTTGATTTGATTTGAAGCTTTGAATTATTTGTGTTTTGAATTGTAGTAGTCAATCATTAATGTCTGGCATTTCTTTGCTGTTGTTGTGATTCTTCAGTGGTAAATCTATTATTTGTATGAGTTTAGGTAAAGCTTTTTAAATGTATAATTTAAATGTGTTTAGTGCATACTTGTAAGCTCAATTAGCTTATTCCACTGGGTTTTACAGCATATTTGCCTTGAAAGCCTCAGAAACAGTGAGTACTGTCCAATGAGGCATGTGTGTTTGTGACATGTCTTTTTCCTGATATTTTTTTGATCTCCAACCACAATACACCAATTACCTGGTACCGACACCATTCAGGCCTATTTTTTCATGGTTTGTTTGAAAATGCATTAGAGCCAGTGTTCTGTCTGATACCAGCCTTTAAAATACCAAGATTTTGTTTACAAAAGAAGGGTCTATGCTGCTCAAATGAATTAATATTTTGAAACACATAAAATTGCTTAGTGGGGAGCCCATATGCTAAAATTTTTGGGATATATATTGAGTAAGGTTTTGGGAACAAATGGATGCTATAATTATTTTATGAAAATGGGCTAAAAGAATCCTCATTAAAAATCAAAATGAAAAGTAATATGGCTTATTCAAGTTTTGATGACATTTCATTTCAGCATCTCAAAATATTTCCCATGTGCTTCACTGTCTGCTTGAAGCTCCTTTTGAGAACATGAATGGGACCAAGTCTGCATCGCTGTACCCTAAGAGAAAGGCGTTCTTTTACACTATATTACTCCTGTTCTTTGTTGTTTTGTGCAGCTATCAAGTTATCAGCACCCCCACTGATATCTTCATGGTGATGGAATATGTGTCAGGCGGAGAGCTTTTTGACTATATATGTAAAAATGGAAAGGTAAAGCCTAACCTTTACTATTTTTTTTTCCTTTATAGTACCTATGTGACATTTTTGTGATGTTTGTCTATAATACAGCTAATCTATGGCTAAATAGTAACTGAAAAATCTCAACACGATGTGCAGAGCAGTCAGCTGTGGTGCGACGTGTTGATGAGTCACAGAAATAATAGACCTTCTCTGTGTTGACAGTTGGATGAGAAAGAGAGCCGTCGCTTGTTCCAGCAGATAATTTCAGCTGTGGATTACTGCCACAGACACATGGTGGTGCACAGAGACCTCAAGCCGGAAAATGTTCTCCTTGATGCACATATGAATGCCAAGATCGCAGACTTCGGTGAGTATTGTGAATCATGTGAATATCAGAAGCTCATGTTTTGATAACGATTACTTAATGTAAAATGACAATACTTGCTTGGAAAAACCCTTTTGCCCACTTGCTCATTGTGTGTGCGCTTCTCTGAAAGACACATCAACCTCTCCTACAGCTTCCAAGTCTTCTTATAAACCTAGCTCAGTGTCTGGTCATGTCCTCAACTTTGGTAACAACTGTCCATAGAAGTCCCATTACTATGCACCAATCCACACTCGCTTGTCCGTTGCCATGTGTCTCATCCCACTTGAACCAAAATCCAAAGTTTTGCATGCGCAGGACATGCTCTAAGCACCCAAGTAAAGCTCTGTGAGATACATGTGTGATTGAGGTGTTATGTCTCCATGGCTGTGGCTACAGAGACTGCTGTCTGTGAATTTTTACTTGGAGTGCCTCTATATAATACAGTGTGTTTATATTGTTTTCAGGTCTGTCAAACATGATGTCAGATGGGGAGTTTCTGAGAACAAGTTGTGGTTCTCCAAACTATGCTGCTCCTGAGGTCATATCAGGAAGGTAATGTGTTGCATTTGAAGAGCATTTATTCAGTATTTTTCAAACAACATTGTAATCAAATGATATTTCTTCAGATTATATGCTGGACCAGAGGTGGATATCTGGAGCAGTGGGGTCATTCTTTATGCTTTGCTTTGTGGCACTCTTCCCTTTGATGATGACCATGTGCCAACACTTTTTAAGAAAATCTGTGATGGGATCTTTTTCACACCGCAGTATCTGAACCCCTCCGTCATCAGTCTGCTCAAACACATGCTGCAGGTCGACCCCATGAAAAGAGCTACCATCAAAGAAATTCGGTGCGTATGTTCAAAACATGATTGTAATTTCATTAAGATCTGAGCAATTACAACATTTACCATTCTAACAGGGAGGATGAGTGGTTCAAGCAGGATTTACCAAAGTACCTGTTCCCAGAGGATCC